CCTTTCCATTAAGGATAGGTGGGGTTCCTTTCACATGCATTTTACCTTTCTAAAACTAAACTGATACTTGGGTTTTTTCCTAGCCAGGGCCCCTAGGCCTATTGTTTTAATCTCATATCATCTTAGTCATGCAACAATAGTCCATGCTTTCAAGAGGTTGTGATAATTCATTCGTATTTCTGTTTCAAATTTTCAATACACGTAGATATTATCTAAAAAATGTGAATAAAATCAGTGCATTTGTTTTGAGATCTATCATCAGACCATTCAACAGAGAGGTAGAAATGGACTGAGATTTTATTGACATAAATGATAAATGAGGCAATTTAACATGCTTTAAACTTATATATATATGCAGCTTAACGCACTTTCTAACTCACACTGTTTTTAGCACAAAGTAAGGTCACATTCTTTTTGCAATAAAATAAAAATTATCGACCTTTAATATAATTGTTATATATATATATATATATATATATTATTATGTATATGCACTATCTTATGTTAAAGTTACATATCCTTTAAATTCATAATCGTAAAGTTTTGAAGTTGATGATTTATATGGATCATCAATAAATGATATGATATTGCATTTGTATTATTTCACCATAGGTATTTACATTTTAAAATCATCCTATTTTTTCTAATACTATTTGGATGAAATTTTCAAATTGTCATCTTAAAAATGAGTATTTTCAAAGAACTTTGCAGATTTTCCATATCATGTAGCGCCGAAAAATGACAATGCTGCATAAGAAGGATAACGAACAGTATTAAATCTCAAAGTTAATAAAACAATACAAAATAGGAGCTGAGAAAAAACGGACCTCCAAAACATCAGAGGTGGATCAGGTGCCATGGAGGAGTGAGCATCCCCTGCCGACCGGTCAAACCCGCCGTGTCCTCCTTATCATGATCGGGAAAAAAAGGAAAAATCCATCGTCAATTCAATTCAGTGTATAAATAATGGACTATAAAGAAATCAAGTCAAACTCACAGCATAAAAGTGTATTGTTAACCTTTATAATTTGTAAATTGTAACAATTGAAAAGAAAATTGTTTTAACATTCACGTTCTGAAACTTTAGAATTGTACGGTCGGATGTATCTTTTGTGATGCTAGATTCAGAAAGTAATTATAAAAAACGCCAGCTTTTTAACATGAAAAGCAGTCGAACAAATGAGAAATTCTATTATCATCTTTTGATAAATTCATTAATAATCATGTGTAAATTATGTCTTCAGTTACTTAAATGAACTAAAAAGTAAGTAAAAAATCACTTTTAGAATATATTTTGTTACCTTGTTACACAATTTCGCACAATAACAATATGACCTTAATTTGTGTGAAAAACCATGTGTGAGCAAGTGCGTTGAGCAGTATTTATATATATATAGCTTCCTCTCAACCATTCAACTGTTGTTATATATGCGCTGCATAACTTGCAAACATTCTAAACACGAAATATAACTTTAAAAGGTTATAAAATAAGGCGTAGTTATAACATTTTTCTTGATTTTTTTCTCTCGCAATTGCCTTTACATATGATAAATCATTATTATAATGTTGATTGGTTCATATCTTTATTATTCAACGAATAAATGAAATTGAAAAAGGTTATCTTGTCATCTTTTTCATGAATGAACACGTCACTGGTATTTCCGTCTACCTGTTATTTATAACGACACAAAGTAAACACATTATCAGTGCACTCCCAAGATTAAACGTTTACAGGTTTAAAGGAAGGCACTTGAAATATCAATAACTGTGATGTAAGGTAATTCAACGCTATTTTTTTCTGTTTGTTCCCTCTGTATGATAGACGCTTACACATATTTTTTTTAACTTTAAAAAAATTAACTTGCAAATTGTGTTCGTAGGATATCAGCCTTTGATGCCATCCATTGATTGTTTTATATATGGTAAGGTTTTACACATATATTTTCTGAATATTTATCATTGCATTTTTTTCTTTTATGAATCTTACAACAAAGAGTGAAGTTGTGCTGATTGTTTTTATTTATCCGTTAAAACATAATTCGCACGTGTTTAGGTGAAGGCAAATTTAAGCCATTGGCGACAGAAGCAATTTGAAGGCAGGGGAGAGGGATAAGTCTAAGAGAAAGAAAATCACACCTTCAAAATAAAACTTGACAAGCAAAAAATAAAAAAAGAAAACCTTACTATGGTTTATATTCCGCTTTTAATTATACACTTCTCCATTAATTAAAGTTATCAGGATGTCACTAACTTTAACTTACTGTAAAAAAATATATATATATGATGTGATGCGCCAGCCTGCTTACAAAGGCGTCGGAATCGGGTAATCCCCCCCGAGACATAATATAGGCATTGAACGTTGGGGCATGGGTTTGGTTCCCCCCTCCCCCCATGGAAGAGAGCCTGGCCCTTCATATGATAAACTTATAATCGTCCATACCAGCATCCACCCTTCCAAAAATAGGGGGAGTCTGGGAAAAATGTTGTAAATGAATAAATTGTCCTTGACTGAAAATGAAATGAATAATCTGTTCCTGTCCCTGACCACCCCACCACTCCCCAACATGAGTTGTCGACTTTGATGTTTTCTTTTAAATTTTATAGCAAAAGATGATCTATTCTACATCTTATAAGAAATAAATAACTTGTTCTTCATTGACATGAAAATAAATAATCTGACTAGTAGAAATGAGCCAGCCCAACTCCTTCCCCACCCTATCAGAATGAATGGTCGACCTCCTCTAAGACGTGTATATCTTTTTAGCCTTTTTATTTTATTGAGGAATATAAGATTTTCCTGTTTGTTTACATGCTTTATAAGCACGCAATGAATAATAAACATTTTTCAAACAAACAAATTTCTTTAGGTCTTTTAGTTCTGTTCTACTGTGAAAAAAAAACAAATCACATATTGAGAGCATTTGTGTATTTATCCTATGTAAATATTGATTAAAGTGGAATAAAAGGTCAATAAGTATTACTCACTAAAGATTTCTGTTGCTTTTTTTTAGGATGTTTTTCCTCAAGACTAAGTTAGAAATGAAAAATGTTTCAGTTTCGAGGTTCAGGTGTCTTCTTATGGATACTTTATACGTTTATTTCCAAGGTAATGTTGGATCTGGAAGCATGATTTTGCACATGATCGCGTCCCGTGGGTGTAAACGATCATTTTGTTTTCTTTTCAAATAATCAATGTATTTCAGATCATATATTTTCAAGTTATTGATCCCTTTTACGATTTCCTTTTATAAAGGTTTGTAATTCCTCTGCCTTGAAATGCTACGCTTCCCAGCCGACTGGAACTGAAGTCCAGAAATGCCCTTTGACTCCGAAAGAACTTGAAGAAGCTGCACAGCGGAAAAACTGTGAGATTATTGCGCTTTCTCAAAATTGCACGAAGCCTGAAAATTTTAAGTATCACTGTGTACTCAGTATGAACAGGCAATCTCTGATGGAAGTTTGTGCACCATACATCTTTTCCCAAGGTAAATTAAACAGTAGTCATATTTTCTTATGTAAATTAAAGTAAATGTTAAATGTTGAGAAAAAAAAAAAACGGAAAAACGCTTTATACCTTAAGAGCTCTCATTTAAAATCTTCAGAAGATCTAAACAATCAATATATATACAACAATACAATAGCTTAAGTGATTAAGTAAGTGGAACAGTGATCCTTTTGTTAAGCTTTATAAGATATTAAATCTAAGCTTAAGGGCGTTGTTAGGGATAGTATGAATACCATTTCCTCTTTTTATTTTCAGGACATTGTGTTGGCTTTGACACGCTAGGACTACTAATTCAGCAGATATTTGATAGTTCTTGTACTAAATTCCCAGACCCTTGTCCTATTAGATTTGCTTCTTGGAACTCATCAGCTTGTATGTTGCAATTATTATATAAAAACAGTTTAGTCAGTTTTCCTACCCTTATGTACATTTATTTAAAAAACCATGAAATACAACGAGAAAACGAACAGTATTCAAGCTCTAAATTTCATTAAACAATACAAAATTGGAACGGATCAAACTTGGAGCTCGGAAAATTAGAGATGGGATAAGGTGTAATGTGCAATTAAATTAAGGAGTAATTTATTATGCTAAGTTGCATTCCTATGAAGCAAAATTTGTCAAAAATCTAATGCGCGTAAAGAAGGAAACATCTGCTGTGGCCTTTAACTCGACATTTAGATATATCGACGGTGTACTGTCAATTAAGAATGGCTATTTTCATTCTGATGTTGATACGATAAATCCCGGTTAGCTTAAAATAAAAGATACAACAAGGTCTAACGCATCTGTCTCATATTATTCTATTTCAAAAAGATGATAAGGATAATCTAACAACCAAGATCGATGATAAACGTGGTGATATTTTATCTGTCTTTTACTTATGCAGCAATACACTTTATTTGTACTTAAAAAGCGGGCTTCGTATAACAGCTTTGGCCAGACAGCAATGTGCTTATTCATTATTAAAATGATATGATGTAATGTTTTTTTTTATTTAGTTGTTTCGATCTGCCATGTTACATTTCTTATCAGGCCTTGAACACCGAGCCCGATTTATTCATCTATTTCAGTAGGAAATATGACTATATAATGATAAATGATGCATTTTTAATTGATTTTTTTTTATTTCACGTTTGAGCATCAATTTTAATTTAAAATGGGTAATTGGCACTTGTTACTTGGACCATTCAGTTCAACTGTGTCGACCAGAATGCTCTGTAGGTGAACCCCGACAATACATTGCAAGAGCGGTATTAGTAACACAATGCCACTCGAATACAATTACACAAGTAAGGTAGATCCTCCTTGACTAGAAAATGTGTGTAAATTGTTTTTTTAATTACTAGTAAACGGTAATTAAATGCTCAACACCAAAATTACGACCTCACAATAAATACCTGACGACTATTTTCAGCAAGGTTAACATTCTACTTGAATATCAATACTTTAATACGATGATTAAAAATTGATTAGAGTAAGATAATAAAATTTTTAGAAACACATAGATAACAATAATTTTATAACAACTAATAGCTTTTCAAAAAGCTTGCCTGACTAATTCAATCAATATAAAGAACATATAATCTTGATAAGTTGTATATATAAACGTTTACATTGGGGTGAGGGGTAATTATTTCATTAGAGTAAATTATGAAGACGTCGAACAAAACATCATGCATTAATTTTAAGTTGATTCCTACTTATGAAAGCAATGGAGAGCCTCGTTTTTAAAAGGGGGGGGGGGCAGCTAGAGAATTTTTTTTCACTCATCTGCATAAAAAAGGAATATGCCCAAAGTTGAAAATCCTATTTCGGGGGGGGGGGGGTAAGGGGTAGTGAGCAACTTTTTTTCAGTGTCAAGTTCTTTCTTAACCAGTTTTTTTTAGCATTAAATACTGCATTTCCCTTTAATAAATGTCCTGTTATATACAGGTCGGCAAAAAAGGGAGGAAACCCCCCCCCCCCCCCCCCCCCCCAGTTGCTACGTGTCTGATTGAAAAGGAACAGTAGTTTTTATTTAAAAGGTATATTTTGTATGTGTTAAAAATTGGTTTTGAAACTTTTGATCTGTTTTTCGTTTGTTGTATAAGGACGCCTGTGGAGTGTTACAAATACTTGGAACTCAGGACCAATGAGCAGTTTCTTTAAATTTTTTGTGCTAACACCTACTGCGACTCGGGACTTGGTTTAAAACGGTCTCATCCAAAGGACCATTCCATGTCCTGCAGTGGATTCGAACACGCACTTAAGCTCAGCTCCTCATTCCACAACTCTATAAATGGTTTTAGAAGATGTATAATTAAATAAGGGAAATGAACAAATGAATATTTTAAAATTAAAATTTAGAATTAGATTCAACTGCATGAGTACCAGGGTTTGGGGGAAACACTGGGGAAATATAACTACAAAAAAAAATGAATCGTTATGATTATTTAACATGCAGAATATGTTTTAGTATAGATTGTTGGGTATGCCAGAGCATCAACGATTGTAGGAAACAGCCCGTTATGCATAAATGACCCAACAAACTTGACGGCGATTCCTTATATTCCTCAATCCTGGAATAGGAGGGACACTTTTCCTAAGTCTATTTTCTGGTTTCATAAGAAAAATTTTTATCTAAAACTGGGGGGGGGGGGGGCTGCAAGTCCGGGGGAGATATATATTAATATTATGTATATTTGGCCATTTTACTCTTAAGAACTCTTTTTCCGTTTCGTTTTTACACTTTAATTGAAGTAACTTCTCTAATTCTTTTCCCCCAAAGTTCAAATTCCGATAAAAAGAACAGACTTTAAGTTTTATTTCCATTCAGTACGTGCAGTAGAATCATCCAGGAAAAGGGCGCGAAAATATACACGTGACATTTGGCGCAAAATGATTGTGACACCCCTTACCTAGAAGACAAATGGACTCATCCAATAGTACAGAAATGCCGAAAAAAGGTCAAACGGACATGTCCGTATATGAAATCGCATGAAATAAACAGCTGCATGCAAAAAAACTTAAGGAAATAAACACATCAATATATTGTATCAGTAAGACGATTATTTTTTTCTGCTTAATATTTTGTTGAAACGGAGGTAACAAATTCCAGTGATAATCAGCATGCACAAAATTTTGCCGGCTAACTGTGACCTCTTCTCTTAGCACCTCGGAAATATCAATCATTATACAGCCTGACGCCGTGACGTCAGGCAATTATAATTTTTAATCCCGCGTGTGGAGCGCTAATTCATGACTACGCCAACAACTCCATATCTGGTGATTGCGCTAGATTTTGAATACGCTTATTTATGTACACGTACAGTACCTTCATCTCCGTAAGTGTTTTGAGGAGTTCCGCATCCCCTACCAACCGGTCACATCCGCCGTGTGCTCCTTGTCATGATCGGAAAATAATGGAATTATCCGTCTTCAATTCAGTGTAAAAATAATGGACAAACAATTAGTACACTGTATGAAGAATTTCAGTCAGCATTTGACTCAATGATAATTTGTATTTGCTGACAAGGTCATTGTATCGACCAATAAACTTTCAAAGTGAAACCTTTAAACGAGACAGCTGTAATTCTTGCTTTATCAACCTTCTTGTCAAAAATTGTCATTGTTTTAAATACGTAAAGCATGCTCTTGCATATTAAATCAACTGGAGAAATATAACTCCGTATACAGGTGATGAAGGTACCGGTATAATGCTGCATAAGTCAGGGAAGATGACGATTGAAGTTAAATATTCAAATATGACACAGATGTGTCAGACGCTGTGGAATCTCAAGCTCACAAGGATATATTGTATCGACATAAGATTTGAAATTACCATTGCTAATTGACAATACCTCGTTGATATATCTAAATGTTAAGCTAAACGTTACAGCAAGTATGAAGAATATACACTTTGGGTTTAATTGTGACCTAAATATATCAATGTTCCTAAAAAGTTATAAAATTGGATTTAGCAAGAGTTGAGTGATGAATATGATAAATTATCATAGAGTACGGCATGATGGGGGACTATTTGTGAAATATGACGTCATCTTTTTGGTACATTTCTAAGCTTTTTGCAGAAAAGCCTCAAATGACTAATTTCTGTACTTATTTTAATTTTCTTTAGAAAATAGTGTCTTCCACTGTCGCCCACTTCACGTTTTTAATGTTTTATGTAAAATGCTTTGAAATATGATATATATCAAAATCTTTGTGGGCGAGAGTGGCAGAATATGTTTTCTGAAAGAAAATTCCACCGAAAATTGATGTCCTCTGCAACTTTTTAAGAAAATACGGGAAAATGCATGGTAATGACGTAACAATTTGCATTAAGGAGGTCATATGAGAAAAACCATTTATGTTTTCTTACTGCATGGAATTCCTATTATTCCAGAAATGAAATTTGATTTCTTGGATCACTTTCATATTTTAGAAAAAAATCAATGGCGTTATTTGTATTTGAACTGTACCTCGTTCTTTATTTTTCTTTTCACGGATACGATTTTACACAAATTCTGCTTCATTTGAATACAAAAAGGGCTGCTTATAACGGGGTTCAATTGGGAACTTACAATAGATTGTTGGAAGACCTGGTCTCCAAGAATGTCAAAGATATTTTCACACAGAATCTCAAGCATTTTTTATGTCAACTTCAGAGTACTTGTAGGTACAATCAGAATACAAGACAGCGTCTCTGCGTATTGACCAATTTTTAAAGTGCAGTATATTTTTGATTTCATAAACAATTGCTGAAAACAAATATCAGCGGTCTCGATTAAAGACATCATCGATCAGATACATTGACCTTATCGGGAAAAACGATTTATCGCGATTTAAAATGGTGCCTGGCGATTGATACTGCAAAGTGATTGTTTGGCCATTGTATACATATAATTCTCGACGGATTTTTCTGGCATTTCCCGATTACGACAAGGAGCACAAGGCAGGTATGATCTGTCGGCAGGGTATGCCCACTCTTCCATTGCACCTCCCTACCTCTGGTTTGTTCTTCTCCAATTTTGTATTGTTTTATGGACTTATGAGCTTGAATACTGTTCTTGATCGTCATATAAGTTTACTATTATATCATGCACATTTATAAGTATACAAAATATTCATATCTTTTTTTCTTGTGACAGTTTCAGGTTGCTATGAACTCATAGAAAACAAGCAGAGGAAACCCAACGCTGGAGGAGCTGAGACAACTGCAGTGTGGTATAATTTTTTATCTTTTGAAATGTTTTTTTTCAAAGTCATTCAATATGCTTTGCATCAGAATTTTTCTATTCTACTTTGACACAATTTTCAGGATTGGTGTCTCGTGTGGAACCTTTATATTTGGCTTAATAATGACAGTATTGGTGCAAACGTTGTGTAGAAGACTAAAAGGTGACTTTATTTTGTGTATTTGTTGCTTAACCACCAAGTATTCTTGGGAAAAGGGGATTCAAGTTTGATCAAATGAAGAACCTGATCCTCCTTCAAGGGGAATAATCAGGAATAAGCAACACAAGATAATGGCATGTTTGAAAAATCTTTTCAACAACTATTTGGCAAGGAAAAGTTAAAAATATATGGAAAGATCCTCAATCTTGTTCAAATTATAGCTCCGGGGTTAGGGTAACGGCACAACAAGGAATCAAGGTTTTTCAAAAGACATATATAGGAAAATTCTTTAAAACTCATCATTTTTAGGCAGCCAATCCGTAATTGGTCGAATTTATACGACAGCATCCTCAGGTATAGTTGATTCAAGTTTGTTCAAGCATGATCCCATGTGCGCCACAATAGGGATGAAAGGTTTTACATACAAATTAATACATGTAGGGAAAAACACTTTTTTAAAGAACAGAAAAATCATGATAAGTCAGATTGATTTTGAAACATCACCAAGTAGTGTAAAATCAAATTGGTTCAAATGATGTCCCGGAGGGTAGGACTAGGTCACAATGCTTTTTTCATACAGAGCTGATTTTTGCTTTTTTTAGCCAATGTGCTCAGTTAGCGATATGGTACAAAGGTTTCTTGTTACCTTAATATTTTGCATACGCTGTGTTTATCTATTAAGAGTCGAAATCAGCAAGCATCGAGCATTTAGTTAAAAAATGTGGAAAGTGGCATAGAAACAGATTTGGTTAAAAGTCATATATAAATTTTCAGAACAAAGGGTATGATAGAAAAAAGCAAGCCAAAAATAATTTTTCGCATTGTTGCTATGGAAACCACGCGCCTTTCAAATAGCGTGTTTTGTACGTTATCATGACACTTGAATTTATGGTTAAACAAATATTTTTTATTACTAGTCATTAATAAAAGCTTTTTAAATTATTATTCTATTTATCTAAAAATACTCAATTTTAACAACTGATGATTATTGAAATTCTCTTCACCTTTTGATAAATAAAACTAGTTTTTGGAGGTTTATTTTGATTTAAAAAAAAACAGCAAATTTGCAGTACTCTATAAGAAATCTACAACCACATTAAAGCTTATCAACATAAAATATATATTAAACAATATTTGTCCTACAAGAATCAAGAAAAAAATCTGCAGGCAACTAAAGCATTTATATATGGTAACTGATTTAAATCCATAATTTTTTGTCTTTTTTGCTTCAAATTACCTCCCTTTGGTATAGCTCTCTAACATAGGAGGAATAAACGGTAGTTTGCTTACCTTGTTTTCAATGACAATGTACAGAAGACTAGAAGAAAATTACAAACTTGGAGCAGTCTGAGCCTCAGTTTTGGCGTTTTCATGAGTCTTAATTACGGTTAGTGACTGAATTTTTTACAATTTACCATTACAACAGTTTCTGAAGAATGCATAACAAAAATTAAACATGCAGGAAAATATGTAACACTTGGCAAGTGTTTTTTTTTTGCACATTTCAATTTAATATTCTGATTGATTATATATGTTAGCATTACTTTAGTATTTTATAACTAAAAAGAAAAGATTAATGCATGGCCTGAGGAACCAAGAGAAGGGGGTATGCCCCCTCTCCCCGATAATATTGCCGATATTAAACTATAATATGATAAAATGAAATTAAATTCCCCAACTTTGATTGTTTATGCGGGCCGAACGTGAAAAAGTTGGTCATGATCAGTTACATAACTGTATCCCAAATTATAAAGTTTAATTTGAATTTAGTTTAATTTTGATTTGTTTTATTCACAGCATGTGTGTAACCAAGTCAAGGTTTTTGCTGATGTCATCCAGTGTTTACTTATGAAAGAAAATTCATATTCAGCTAACATTTTCACCGGTACCACTGAACTAATTTAAGTCAACTAGGTTCAAATAATAAGCATCATTAGAATTACAGCACATAAATTTTTGAAAAGAATTTCTATACTCTAATTTTTTTTTGGGGGGGGGGGGGTTATTGGAAAGAAAAGAAAACCACAATTTAGAGTTTTGACAACCAATTGACCTTTTGATTACAAGTTTATGAATTTAAAGAATATCTAAAATCAATACCGTCTCAACTTTGTGTTGTATATTTCTGTTTTTAGAATGAAATTCGCCATTTTGAAGCCAAACTCGGAAAGAAGCAGAAACAGAATTGGATGAGCTGATATAGAATTAGACAGGAAAAACGTGTAAATAATACATCTAGTAAAAACGTTAACTTTTTAAAATAAAATGATAAACTAAACCATTGAGATCTCTTGGAATTTAATTGATTCCAATAAACATGCTTTGCATTCGTCATCATTGCTCTAGCTCAACTAGAAATGGTTCTTAGTATTAGTATCTGAAGGCAAAGCTGTATAATATTATTACATTTTAATTTCATCACTTTTTCAGATTATCGTTATGAGAATACATCATTACAGTACAGACCATTGATGCTGGAAGTGAGTGGATAGTGTTACCGGAGACTCAGGGATCCAGAAAATAGATCCATAAATTGTACAGTGTATTCATGAAATTGTCTGTTAGCATTTTTTTATTGATGTAAATCTAACAAGCTAATTCAGAGAATTTGTGTCCCCCGCTTAGGGAAAAAGTAAACCATGCGCAGTTCGGGGCGGGGGGTGGGGGGTGGGGGGGTGGGGGTCGGATCCCCCTAATTGAATTTGTAGAATTTTTAAATGTATACATGTATACTGAAGCAAATAAAATATGTCAATATTGATATAATGATTTGATTATGTGTATAGAAGATTCTTTTTATGTGGATTATTTATCACAACGTAATGATGATTTTATGAGTTTGTACAAGCTAGACCTCATAATTTTTTTCATTTCACATGCTGAATACTATCATTTAGTAAAAAAAAGAATTTCGCATGTGAAGCGGGAGACATACCACTGCGCCACGGAACTGCTGTAAAATTTCGACAATTATATGCAAATATGAAGTCACATACATGTATATATTCACGTTTGATATCGTTTGATATCGTCAAAAATTTACACAAAACATGGTGTCTAATTCAACCTTTATTAAACAGTTCTGATAGATGTGATAGGAATATAAATTCTGTCGAGAACCTGTTTTATACGCAATAACTCTCCTCATGCCCCTGTGCTAAAAATAGCGACATGTAATACTATAAATACTAATAAACAAACGGGGCGGGACACTCAGCAAGGGGTGAGAGAGGCCGTAAGGAGTTTTGGTATAAAATTTGGTAAAGCTCAAAACCTGCTTGAAATATCGCCCGGAAATGATAGTACGTGTTACACACACAGACAGAATGTTTAAATCTACGACCTTTAACTTTGACCTTTTGACCTCAAAATCAATAGGGTCTTCATAATGCCACGGGGAGTTGTTATGTAAAATTTCATTGCAATAGCTCAAATGGTTCTAGAGATACTGTGTGGAAAGGAAAGTGTTATAACAGACAGAATTTGTTTATTTATGACCTTGACCTTTGACTTTTTGACCACAAAATCAATAGGGTTCTTCTTTAGTCCATAGGGAGTAACTGTTGCTATGCTAAATTTCATTGCAAAAGCTCAGAGGGTTCTCGAGATATCGTTTGCAAACGAAATCGTTCCAGACAGACAGAAAGACAGCTAGACGGAAGGACAAACGGACAAACTCGGAAGGGGGTGTGTGGTTAAACATTAGGGTACGTTGAGAAAAAAGTTGGGTGGGGGATGTCATCCCCCCTACCCAACCCAAACCTGATGCTACATGCCTGATTGACATGGTTTTACTTTATAATTATGTGAGCTGTCATAGTGACTCTCTTTCATAAACAAGAATTATTGTGAGCAAGCTAATAAAATGATACAACCCTCCTGCTATTGCATTAAATGTTTTTTATTACAAAAAAGGTCTAAATACTAATTTGAAACCATTTAAAATTTTGCTAGTGCAGATATACATACTAAAAATGACTATGACAAATACTCAAGTCATAGGTAGTAAAACCGTTGTGTTGAGCACAAACTTCCAATTTCCCTTCATTCGAAGTTAAATATGTAAATGTGCCAAACTCATATAGTACACTTTTACTGCAGTGACCTTGAAAAAGCTATGTCCTTGAGTCAATGGCAAACATGTTCAAATGAATTTTGGTCAAGGTAATGACAAACCTACAGCTTAAAAATAATTCCCAAGATGAAACCAAGTCTTTTCATTAGAATGTTACAGAATGGGCAAAGGTTGCACTTTTCTTCTACCAATGACCTTGAACTTGTTCAAATGACCTTGAGTCAAGTTTTTGACACATCTCTCGATCGCAAGCAATCTTAATATCAAGTATGAACTTTCAGTGGCACTTCATTGAAATGTTATGGACAAGTCAAAATTTTACATACATATGGATCGGTGAACAAGGTGATTCCTACCCCCCCCCCCCTTTCTTTTCCAAGTTTCGTTTGTGAGGAATATAAAATTCCTTTTGAAATTGAATGTGCATTTATTTATTAACAATAGTAAAGTTATGAGTATGCTTTGATCAGAACCAATATGGCCAATATAATGGACACTGAACATGTATTCAAATTACCCCCACCCCTTCAAAAAAGCTTATAAATGCCAGATTTTCACACATTTTAACCATTTGTAACTTTTTTCTGCTAAAGTTGCCTGCAAATTTTATTGTATAGATATGACATATAGATAACCCCTAACAAGATCATACCATTCATTTTTCCAGCAGTGGTTGTAGATTTTGTGAATAAAGTGATAAACATATGTAATTTTTTTCAAAATTAATAAGCATTGACGCCATGTTCTTTTCCCGTTGTCATGGCAACAATATCACTACAGAAATTTTGTTTTTCCTATTTTTGGAGAATAAAGTAATTCCATCTTTTAACAAATAAAGTAACCAAAATACCTTATCTTATCACGTTCAGAAAAAATATTCGTAGAAAAATGTCTAAAAAATCATTGATTTTCATAAGGATTTATGAACCCGTTGCTAAGGAAATGAATTTCCTTGGATACCAGTCCCTTCATACGTTCGAAAAAAAATTTTAATTGTGTTTTAGCATTAGGTAAGACAAAATCTTTCATATACCAAAAGCTTTTGAAAAAATAAAATTTTGACTTTCCATTCAATGCTCGATGCTTGTTGATTTTGACTCTTAAGTCGATTATGAACTGATGTTAATGCAAATTCAAGTCCTAGAGGGCGCACCATGGGATAAGCTTTATATTGTGTGATTAACAAGCCACCTATAACTTGCAAAACTAAAAACAATTAATACATTTCAGATTATAAAAAGAAAAAGGGAAAATTACTGTAAGTATGCAACAAGTGTTTAAGACCATAATTTAGGACTTTTGACTATTAATGAACGTCCATCATTCAGACATATACGAATATGAGTTGAGGCCTGTCGCTTACTTATACTTACTTTCTAAATGTAATTTGTTCTTTAAATTAAGTATGAATTTTTTAATTGATATTTAGACTGATTGACTCCCACCATCCCTTAAAAAGAAACATTTGACCAATTCCCTTCACCCACCCATCCCAATAAATAAATTTCGTCGTTTTTTGTCCAACATTACACTTACTTTATATTAAAAATAATCATTACATTTTGCAGGAAAATCAGAATGAAAATGACAATTCCAAGGCATTATTATGTGATATCAACGAGGAAACTGATACTTCTCTCACGAGATATGACGGTAAAAAATCTTATAACATCAAGTTGAAATATTTTCAATTTTGTATGACAGTATTCAAAATCGTATAATAGTAACTTTTAGCATCCCTTTGTCAAAATTTTCTAATGGGTCTAAGGATTAATTTTTTATGAGAGAAATGTTAAAGTTTTTTTAATTTTATTTTTCTTACTTCAAATCTATTGCGTAAATGTCTTTAAAATAAGTAGTATTTTATTATTAGATAATCACCAATGACATATTTTACAGCTTCAGGATTCGATAAAGAGGGCTTTGATAAAGTTATCAAAGACTTTCATTTAACGAGCGTTGAGGAATTATTTAAACAACACCATATTGACTGTGTTGTTACCTTTCTTGGTTTGGATAATGACAAACTGCAGAGCCTTGGGTTAGATATAGGCCAGCAGGAATGTAAAAACGCTATTCGAAGAATACAGTGTGCTTCCAACAACAAAATGAGACGCCACAAGGGAGACAGTCAGACCAGCATGTCCATTAGTGAAAGATCGAGTCCAGAGACCAATTTCCGTCAGCACAATCTGTGCTGACATTACAGAGAAAAAGAAAAGGCCTCCTCATAAAAGAACATTATCTTATCCTACCTGAAACGTTTACACTGATTAAATAAACAAATAAAATTAAAACTGAAATATAATTATATGGTTTCTTTACATTTCGAGTATTTATTATTTTAGTAAAACAAAACACCATTTCTTTTCATGAAGTTTATAAAAAATTCCTTTTGAAAGTTTAACTTTGCCACATTAACATTTTCTAGTAGTATTTGTCTTTAAAGGAGAAGTTCTGATCTCATTAGAAAAAGTATAATTTTGCAATAGCCAATACTGTTTATGAGAGGCTACATAAGAGACAAGCAATCAAGTGTCAATATTCACTAATATAAGTTCAGTAACTCCTATGAAAAATATTTCCAGATAATTTATATTAAGGTCAGGCGATTCGATGCCCGAATATCTGTTTTGTGTAGTTTTGCAATGTATTAAAATTATTCAAAGTTTTAGGTACATTCCGATTTTAAAACCAGTTTCTAATTGTTTAAAAAAATGAAACGCCTAAATTTATTTAAGAAAAATAAGTGTTTTCCCAAAAGGAGTATGGAAGGAACACTACCTTCTGATATCTTGCACAAATGTCTGGTGACGTACCTCAAAAATAGTGGGAATCGTTTTATAGAAGCAATACTTCATTGACAAAATATTGGGAAAAAATATATAACATATATTTAAGAATGTATCATCTCTCCTTAATTATTTGAATTAGTTTTCAAAATGAATAAGAATGTTGAATGTTTTAGCAGGAAATTTGTATTTAAGGGGAGACAGTGCACATGTCACATGACTATAAAGTCATATTACGTCATTATCGGTGATGATATACATGTTAAACCTTGTTAAAATTAACAGTTCTTGTGTAATTTTATTCTTAATTCTAATCTTTAGATATTGTAAAGTTGCCAAATCCACACAATTGTTTCTCTTTACCCTCAGTCTGACGTCAGTGACGTCATAGACGTAGTGTTTGAATTCTCAGTGCAGCAAGATCAAGTACACACAGTCGTCCGCGTTGCGCAGTGGTTAGAGCGTCTGCTTTAGAATCGCAAAATAAGGAATCAATCCTTAGGTAGCGAGTTCGAATCCCACAGTGGGGCGTGTAGACCGTCCTTCGGATGAGACCGTTTAAGCCGAGGTCCCATGTCGCAGTAGGTGCTGGCACCAAAAAGATCCCTTCCTGCTCAATCGCCCTAAGTGCCTAGAATAGGACAAAATTTGCAGCTCTCCACCGGCAAGTGGTGGCGTCTCCATATGAGTGAAAAATTTTAAGAGGGGCGTTAAACAATATACAATCAATTAATCAAGTACACATACCCGTCATGATCAGTTTTATTTCATAATAAACAGGTCACAGCTAATGTATCAAGATAAATTTCTGTATTTTTTAAATTAATACTTTTTCATGTTAAGTAGCAAAGATTCTCTATATCTAGATAATTTTGAACGTTTATGTTTCTGTGTGACGTCACAATTGATTTCCCGCACTTGGAAAATACAATTGTGTAGCAGTTTTATAATTCTTACCTCTAATTCAACGATGTCTTGTGCGATATTGAGGTAAGCTTCACCCTGTGATATTCATGCAGATAATAATTACGATGAAGGACTGACATTCAATCATAAATTTAGAAATATTTATCGACAGAATTTTTTTTACAAATAACTATATACTATATAAAATTAAAACAATTGCTTTCCGATAATTTAATTCGCATTGTAGACTCCGTTATGTGCCCGTAAACATGAAGTATCTAAACTCTATACAAACTCTAATCAGGGCCGTATTTGCGGGTCGATATCTTTTAAATAAGTCAAGAAATCCCATGACAAGACCGTTTTTTTTTTTGTTAAGTACATATTGAATTAGTAATATAAAAAAATACAAAAAAAAAAAATCATTGACAGGAATTTTTTTCAGCGAAAAGGTCCTGTTCCTCCTTTACATGCATTTCATTCAAGCATTTCCCTTGACCTTCCTTTGCGTTACGATTCTGGGATTTTTATTGAGGCTATTAGATGGATACGTTGAAAATGATATATCTAAAAACAGCTAATTGAGACAGAAGACATTGATAAAAGGGGGCAAACTCCACATTCGTGCCTCATATACATGTATTTGCTAATTAAAAGTATTGTGACTTGATTTTTAGCCAAAAATGGTTAATACATGAAACATACCGACTTTCATGTCTTAAGTGTCTCACACACACTAGTAATAGTAATTGCTTAAGCCTTTTTATCTGTATTTTTTATTTAAACGGACTGTCGCTGTATAGGAAAGTGCCTTTATTGCACTTTTAAGCAAGTTTTTCAAATTGTTCAATATACGTTTTACCAATTGTATTATGAGTAGTACTGTATTGTTAATTATGTATACGAAACACAAAATTTTAATTTTGATTTGTAGGGGGCATCTCAAAATGTCAATATCAGTTTATTTTTTTCTGTTTATACGGAGTATTACAAAATATAACAGATGAATAACTTTATATACCCGGTAAATGTATATGAATAATTGATAGAATGTTTTTATTTTCAGGGACTTATCTTATCTTGACGTTTTCATAACCTATTCTGTAAGGTTTTTTTTTTATTTTATCATGAGGTCAAATTCACACACTTTTAATCGACCTCAAAGTTTTTAAAAAAAAATTCTAAGAATTACCTACATAATTTTTTAAAAAATGTTTTTAGCTTGTAATTTATTCTTTTTATCTTTTATTAATAATGTTAAAAACGCTTTAAAACAGTAAATATTTTTCATTTTACTGTGATGTGCGAAGCATTGCGCAATGATATTCCCCTGTCGCCCACCTTAATTGTCTTTTCTCACATGGGAGAAAAATGTCCGATGGGTTATTTTCTCCTAATTTTTTTCCCATCAATGTGTTCAAATGGAATAGATCTCATGGATATTGACAATGGATTATTCTCTCCAATACAATGTTATAGTTGGTATACATGTAATTCCTACAACTGTATAATAATGACAAAATTGTCATTGTCATACTGTATTGCATATATTTCATGTTTCACAATGTATGGGAGAAATTGTTTGAATGTAAATATCTGTGGTATATGTGTATTTATCCCATTTGAACAAATTTGTGGGTGGAAATTTCCCATCTTACATTTTTTTTTCTTACATGGGGGAATGGAGGAACTGTTTGAAAATTGAAAATCTCACCATTCTCCCATGGGGTTCTGATATTTTGGACTTCCTATCATTAGAAGTTGAGATGTTTGTGAACTCAACATAAGACTCTTGGATACTGCTATGAAATCCCAAGTTTTACCAAAATATTTCAAATTGTCCCCCGCTTGAAAAGTGGGGGATATTAATTTGGGTTTGTCCGTCCGTCCGTCCGTCTGTCCGTCCGTCCGTGTTTACGAGAGTGCATTTATTGGGTATTTTTCATGCCAAGATTGTACTTATTGGGTACTTTTTGCTTATTGGGTATACCCAATAAGAAGTGTCGCTGAATATGTTTAAAACACCCTAATTGGGTATTTGCAAGTTAGTACCCAACAAAACTTGGACACGACGATTTGTCCAAAAAAGTGTCCAAAAAAGTTGCTTTCACGGACGCACCGTGTTTTGTTGTTTCAGTTTTACATTCGGAACTCTAAATTCTCGAGAGTTCCGAAAATCAACTTCCGTTGATCCTGATCATAACAACGTTTGTTTTCATGGAAAAAAATATGGCGACTAAGAAATACTTAATTTCGACAAGATTTCCTGATTGACAAGAGGAAAGGTAAGTTTATTCGATTAATATTTATCCATTGCTGGGTTCTTGTTTAAGGAAAATAGATTTTAATGTAATTTTGAAAACAATTGTGCACAAAATTAAAATAGATATATCGGAACAATTAATCCTAAGTTGCACTTGTTTGTATTTTGAATTTTCTCCGTCTTTTTAACTCTCTTGAGGGCGAGAAGTATTTAGTAAATGATCGTATATTGTTAGATAATCTTTAATAAATCGAAAGTGTTTATTATTTAATTTTATATCATAACCAACTAAGTATATTCTGACAATGTATATTGGAAAGGGAAATGAAAATGTTAACAATCGTGTGTTCATAAATCAGCTGTAAATTATCGGTTCATGTACACAGCTATATTACAATCGCAAAGTGAGCCGAGATGATGATAAATGGGATAATTGACAACAACTAAATAATTTTATGTAAGTTTATCTCATCTGATATGTAACTTAAGAGATTCATTGTATTACTGAAAAACTTTCAGTCAAAACAGTGCTTCTTTCGAATTCTGTCTTAGATTTTGACTCAAATGAAAAAAGTGCTAAATCTAAAGCAAACTAGCATGGCGCGGCGCCATGCCCTTTTTTCTCGGAGCCATGCCCTTTTTTCCAGCGCCATGTCCTTATTTCCTAACCCAAAATTAATAAATATGCCCAGTTTAGGCAATATTCCTTTGCTGTTCTGTTCATTCAGTGCATGCTGATATTCAAAAGTGCCCTTTTGATTCCTTGATTAATTTACCATGCCCTTTTTAGGGTCTAGATTTAACACTAAATAATTTATTTTTTATTTATTTAAAAAAATGAGTGTCTGCTTTATTTTGATTTTTTTTTTAATTATTGTTTTTGTCTTTTGTTTTAATTGATTTAAAACAATACTGAAATTGATATAGGGCTACTATAACTATTTCACATGATGGGTGTGTAATTAGCATCGCGCTACACCCGGGGCTTCCATTTTTGAGGATGGGGCTAGTGGTTTTCTGCACTGAGGAATCCCCTTGGGCTATTAGGAATTTTAAAATACACATGTAATACACGAAAAGCACTTCCGGTATTTTCACTCTTTTTTGCTATTAAATTCCCTAATATGGAAATATTCCAGACAGCATGCTCATATTATCCATAAATCTCCACAACTGCATCCATTTTGCAGTACTACAAGGCTGATTTACTTAAAAACGATCTTTTGTTTCCTAATTTGAA